GGTGGTGCCTGGGGTAGCCCAGAATCGTCGTGGGTGGTGCCTGGGGTGGCCCAGAATCGTCGTTGTTCGGCAGCCGACCCACAAAGAAAATTTTGATCAAAAAAACGTACGTTTGATCAGACCCACAGGGACTTTTTGGACGCTAGGCGTCATCAAAATCGGCGTCATTCGGCACCCGACCCACAAACATTTTATATGAATTTTATATACCCACAAAGAAAACCAATTTTTCCAAAAAAATCCAGTTTCGGCGTGTGTACTTAAAAGTTTATCTAAATCGGCGTCGTTCGGCACCCGAACTACAGAGAAATTCTGGACGCTAGGCTTCATCAAAATCGGCGTGGGTCTGATCAAACGTACGCTTTCGCCCACCCCCAGAGAGGCCAAGGGCCCTGAGTCACCTTGCTTGAAAAGCCCCCCCCGCACTCTCCACACCACCCACCCCAAACCTGGCCTAAACCTGGACCCAGGGAAAGACTGGCAGAAATGGAAGTGAGCCTTTGTGACGTGGCTAGTTTCATGTTGGCTTCACTGTTTTCATTTGGTTTTCCAAATGACAAACGACCAAGAAAACACAACAAAACAAAAGAATGGAGTCGCCGATGCTGCGAGCCATGGTGACTGCTGCTTCTATGAAGCCGGAGCAGAAAGAAGATACACCCAAGAAAGAAACAAAGGTCAAAGCAAAGGATGAGGGTCCTCTAGTATCTCGGCTAAGTTGCGTAGCCTTATGATGATTCTCCTTTGTTTCCACGGTTCCCAGTTCCCTGGGGTAATATACAGCATCATTCAATACAACATTTCACATAGTTTTGAATTTAATATCGAACATAGGACTCTGCTGCGAAGAAACGCAAGACCGAATGGGAAGCTGGCCTATCAAAAATGCCTGGAGATGTTACATTGGTAAGAGCTGCTAAGAATGGATTTGAGCTCTGTTTTATTTTGTTGGTATGTTTAAGTTCAAGTTCAAGCAAACATGTGTTCTTGATGAAGGATATCTGAGAACACATTCAGGACATCTTGGAATACTTGGGGCAGTTCTCTGACACTGAGCAGAACAGTGGAGGTGGCCAAGCAATGCACCCACTTTCATGGGTCATGGAAGCCTTCAAAACAAAGGAGATTGCAACAGCGACGTGTGACAAGCTACAGCAGTTTCTGAAGGATGCAGGTGCAGCCTGTGGCCGTTCAATTGAGTTTGCAAGCACGCCTGTTTCTTGTACAAACAAAAGGCTTTTTGTGCGCATGATATGATTTTCGATGAGCTGTAAATTTTGATGTACAGTAAATGTTTATGACACCCGAGGATCTCAGCTCTTTGGTCTCTGGCAGCAATTCACACCTCATTGCCTACCTCCCGCTGAGTGCCATTCATTTGGCTGCACCACCTGACGGCTACCCATGCATAGGAGATTTTGTGACGACGACAGTGTCATACATATTTTCAGGTTGCCGCTTGCATCGTGAGCCGCTGGATGTTGTCCACGCAAGCTCAGATGGCTCCACAACATTCACTTTGAAGAAGGGATTCACACGGCTGAAGCTCGGCTGATCATAGCCGAAACTTTTTCACATTTGTTGCATTTGCTTTTGGGGGAGGCAACCATTTTGTTTGTATGTATGTATGTTTGAGGACGGCTCCTTTGCTCCTCCTACTTATTTGCAGCGACATCGATCCACATGCGGGCAAGGACATTCAAGTCTCAGAAGTCACAGATTAAAGTTGAAAGCTTAAGTTCAACATGTTGTTTCTATTGTTCAGTGTTGCTCACCCGGTTCGAAGGAACTGCTTGCACCGTTGATGAGTGCTATTGGTGACATGTTCAATTTACCTTGCAGCATCACTTCAAAACAAGATCCAGAGGTGGTTTCCATGGAGGCAATACAGCTCTCAACACAGGGTGCAGAGCGGCAGAGAAAAGATGTGTCTCAACTCGTTGTATGACGTGTTCTTTTTTTGGTGGTTGCCATGGATGGTAAAACACATATTATGGCTGGTACTGTTACTGTTCAAACTTTTGGTCGGGGTGATGAAGCTAGCAGCTCGGTTCGAGCAAATGATGCGTGATCGGAGGCACGACGAATCTACGAAGGACCTCAATGATGAAGAATTGCTGTCTATGTTGATACAGCGTTACAACAGCTACAAGGCCAACTCAGCGTTGAGGAAGTGGCAGCTGAATGCCGATGCTCAGGCTGCTATCTTTGGAGTGATCCGAGGCATGTGCCCTGAAGCGCGCGCGCTTGTGCGTGCACATTTGGACTTTAACAAGTACACGGAATCTGGTTGCTTGGCCTTTCTTTAAAGCAAATGGGGTCATGAGTGCACACGTTTTTTACTTATATATATATACACATTACTTTTGTGTGTGCTGGTTGCTTGTGCAAGCCAGCAATGGCCATCTTAGCCTACAACGAGTCCATCCTCCGCAGCAAGCGACATCAACTTCATGAGGCTCCCAAAGGATGCCCACCAGCATGGATTGACAAGCTCACTGTGACTTGACCTGATTTTGTAATTTGTGTCCAATAATTGGTTATTGTGAGTTCTGGGGTGCTCATCTTAAAGAGAAAAACAGGTGCAGAACCTTGTCTTGAGGTCACGAAGGAAGCACAGATCTTACATTTCAGAAGATACAACATATGGTGGGCAGCCAACAGCAAGCGTATGAAACCTTCTATGAGAACACGGCTACGCTGGAGCGAAGAAGTTTGGGGGCGAAGTGTGGAGATGGCCTGCGTCACAGTTTGGGCAGTCAATGAGGCAGCCAAAAATCCAAGAGATCTTTGGTTTGGTGGAGCCAAACTTTGTTTTGTATGTTTTGTTCTTCCTGTTAGCTGTTCTCATCACCCACCATACAAAACAAGGTGACTTCAGAGATGACCAGCAACATGATCCAAGGGTACTTGCAAGGGATACTTTGATGATACAGTGCTTTCCAAACCTTTTATAATTTGTTTGTTCAATACTTATTTGGCTGTTTGTTGTAGTCTGAATTCAATTCGAATAGAAGTTGTGGCCCTGTGCTGAGGGACTATGTCCAGGACTTGGAAGCAGTGCTCCTCAGCAAACCCAACAAGTTTGGTGTGGAAGCGTTGGCAATGTGGCAGGACTATTGTGGAAGAGCGCTTGCGAAGGGCGCTTCATCACTTGGGGGCGTGACGGAGTCCTCTGAGGTTGAAGATGCTGAGGAGCTCCCCTCCCAAATTTTGATTGTTCCCCTCCCAAATTTTGCCCTGACAAGAGGAAACATATGTATGAGTGTGTATATTGACATTGCCCCGTTCTTCACATGTAGTAGGAAGCGCTGCGGGCTGCTGAGTACCAAGTTGCCTGTGTCAACCTAAGCCATGACTACAAGGAAGCGGTTGCTTTCAACTTGAGAAAGCACAAAGTTGAAGGAAGCAAACATGTGCAAGAGGCACTTTATCTGATTGTTTTGTGGCAGATTTTTGTTTCCAACTGCTAGCTTAAAACAATGGGTGTTATTGTTAATGTGGTTGTGGTTCATACTTCTGAGCATGAGGTATTGCACATGAGAGACCAAATCCAGCAGGGTTTGGATGTTGTGGGGCGCTTCATGGAGAAGCGGGCTTACATGGTTGTGGGGGAAAGAAGCCAGGGTGTTGCAGCTCTGCAACGACGCATGCTTGCAGACGCCTCCACTAAGTTCAATGCTCCTTTGGATATTTCGAAGATGCACCATGTCGGGTACATTGACTTCAGCAAGTTTGGACGGCTGACTACTATTGACATCAACCAGGCGGCTGAGTGGGCAAAGAGCATTCTGACTCTGAACGATGAATACAGCCACTCGACAATATGTATATACTGTAAAATAGGTTTCCATATTTTGTGCAATGTTCTCTACCAACTTGTTTGCCCCCTGCTTTCTTGAGTTGGAGCAGCTAAAGGTATGATCTTGGCTGTTGCACCTTTGCTGGCGTCAGAAGGCGTGCTTGGTGGCATTCGGGGAGAGATGCGGAGGATTGAGGACAAGTTCATTGACAACATGATGGAATGCAAGTCCATCAACATACCCTTTGACTTGAGCAGCGCCCACGGCAACAGGACTACCGGTTTGCTAAAACATGTTCACACCATCAGTTCTTTTCTGATGGAAAACCGTTATATATATATAGGGCGAGAGAAAGACACTTTGAAACTGCCAGGAGCTTGCCGGCCAGTCTTCCGGGTTGGATGATTGTGCTCGACACAACGCTTGGTGCAAAACAAGGTACTCTATACAAGGTTCCCAGATCCAGTGACCGGCCAGCAGCCGACACCAATACATTCGCCAAGAATGATTGGTGGTCCTTGCACCGTTGCGGGGCCACCCTACCAGTCAACCCAGGACTTCTACCCACATGCTGAACATTTTGATTGCAGCCCAGGTTTAAGATGTTTCTCAAGTGCTTGTGTGTGTGCATGTCGGCTCAAAACCTTGCCACCTTTTTCCCAGGAGATTATGTGACGCCGGAGTCTGGAACCCTGTTCACACATGAACAGGGCAGGAGCTTGACCGAAACTTGTTTATGCCTCAATGATATGTTTTACACTATTTTCCTTTGGTGATCCTTAAATGATGATGTGATGGGAACATTACTTTTTCAGTGCAGTCATTTCTGCTCAGGACAAGGAGGAAACCTCCCAGTGGGTTTCTGGCTTGGCGACCCTGAAGGAAATGATGACCGCCTGTGTCAGCCGCGTGTCATCGCTGAAGCATCAGACCTGTCTCTTCCACCACTTCAGTTGCTATGAGGGAAATTTTGAGAAGGCGCACATGCTGTTGGGGTGAAACATTTGATGATATTGAAGCTCTCATTTTCATTGAGAAACAAAATTTTCCGATGCGTATTCATCGAAAAGCATTTGTGATGTTGTCATTCAATTCGTCGTTTGATGAGGTGATGCTTGATCTGATGGTTGAATTGAATGACAGGGTCTACATTGGCTTTCATTCTTCGGCTCCCAATCAGACCGTCTTTGAGTTTGCAGCAGCTAGTGTGAAGGACAAGCTGCTGGAGGCTGGAATCAAAATGTTGTCAGCAACAAATTGGATTAATTTTTGGGCCAGGATTGAACATGCTTTTGCCCCTGAAAGGATTGGAAGCAAGGTGCCAATTTGGTCGGGGCAATGCCACCAAAGTATTGTCCAACGGCAGAAATGGGAGATCTTCAAATGCCGAAGCTGCCGCACTTGAAGCTCTGTTCCATCAATGAAGATGGCCACCTGACCATCCCGAAAGCGGAGAGAGAGAAGTGGCTGTCTGATCCTGTGAGGAGTGGCTTGATCAAATTTGATTTCAATTGTTTTGTCCGTTTGCTCTGTTGTGTGGTTGCAAGTGGGAAGGGAACATGAGGATGTGTTCTTTTCAATGTCTTGGGAACTAAGATCCAGATTGGCGCATCAGATTGAAGAACTTTGATGAAGTCTTCAAACCAAACACCTCCAGTCCCAATCCAGCTCCCTCAGCAGCGGCTGCTGAAGTAGATCTTGGTGTTGGACGTCCAGCAGAAGTTGTGAAGCAACAAGCCGATGAATGCGAAGTCC